CTGCTGCTAATTTGCTCATGCTAGCGCTCTGGAGACGGTCCTTCAGGGCTGCGTTCTACTGGTGTTGCAGATCAGACCCGTGGCGCAATCCTGTTGTCTTCCTCTGTAACTGTGAAAGACGTCCACACCGCAATATGTTTTGCCCTCTAGACAGCGAGCTGCAGTTGTTGTTATTTTAATTCCCTGTGTTTATTGGCAGCTCGCAAACCAAGTTTAAGGGTACATGTACCGTCACCCACTGTGTTGGGTGTGTAGATGCTGCCCTTGTCATGTGAGTGAAAGCAGTCTGGCTTTGTGTTATCGGCGCTACTTAAAGGCTACAATTTTAATGCATAATTACAAAAATGTCCCATTATTGGCCTGATACATATCATGCATCCCTAGTCTACCTGGAAGTGAGTGTTGCTGCTAGCACGACATCATTGTGATTCAGTCTATAGGAGCAACACACACAGACTGTGGAGGTTTTACCTCTTTCTTTGTTGTTTTGCGTGTCTTTGTAGTCATTTTACATCTATTTGTGGTTTTGTGTCTCTGCTGTAATTTCGGGATAATTTTGTATTGCTCCATAGTCGCCATGTGTCTATATAAAGTAATTTAGTCTGTTCTTTGGTAATCCTGTGTCTCTTTGAATTGGTCATGTGTCTCTTTAAAGTAATTTGGTGAGTTTTTGTTTTGTGTTTTTGGTCATTTAGTGTCCCCATTTTTTTTGTTTTGTTATTTTTGTCTGTTTGCTGTTTCTTTGCAACTTTTTTATGCCTAGTTAGTACTTCCCAAACATGTATTTCTGCTTACACCATACTATTTTTAACTGAACTAAAAGTCAAATTTATCGATGCTATCTTCAAATTTTTTTCGCAACAAAAGCATGTACTTGCGAAACACTGGGCATACAACTGGATAAATGACATACTTTATTAATCCCCCCGAGGGTAAATTCAATTTTTTCACTCTTGCTGTCAATTACACACAGGTGCAAACACACACATGCACAAACGGGACCTATACATACACTAAGTAGAGAGATGTCAGAGTGAGGGGGCTGCCTTGGCCAGGCATGGACTGAGCTACTGCCACCGACTTGAATTATACTGCATGAGTTGTGTGAGCGTAAACGGATGTTTTGATATAGTTTTGCTGTTCTTGAACACAATATCCAGTAAATCAATACCACATTATATTTGCTGATAAACAAATAGCCATTTTGTGGGTGACGTATCCTTTAATTGTTAATCTATAACCACAAGGAAGATTTTTTTACTTCACTGAACAGATCCAAGACAGGAGAAAAGAAACAAACTGCTACGATGACATGGGCTCTTAAGTACTGAACCAATATGTTCAACACACACTGCAGTATTTGTGACATTTACTGTTAATGCCTCTCCAGATGTAATAATGCATGGAGACTCCCACTTGAGCTAATGAAGCATGTGGGATGACAGAGGCCTAATAAAACTGATTCAGTGTCAGCTCACAAACACTCTAATGCACACACCAGAGCCTGAAATCATATAGACAATGTCCCAAAGCAACATCCTGACTCATGGCTTTCTCTAAAAAAGTAAAGTGATTGGACTGCATCTATTTGCAGGCAGACATTGAATTTGCTTCCTCAAGCAACTGCAGACCATCTCTTTGATTGCTTGCTCAGTCATACTTGCTGCCAAATTCTTTTCATTCTCTGACAGACCATTAGATTAAGTTTTTATAAGTAATTGAACTTTTGGATCTTATTCCTACCTGCAGTTTACCCTGCAGAGTCCAAATTAGAGAGAGCATGGACGTAAATTATGTGGAAAACAAAATAAAGAATAAGAGTGGAGTGGAGTGTAATGTTGTCTTGTGTTCTATGCATATGTTTGTCTAGGGAAAAATGAGATGCTACATCTCAAGGTGCTATCCTTTAATAATTTCATCAAATTCATCAAAGAGATTTTAAAAATAAAATGTAAGACTGACTGTGACACTAAAACATTTCATGACTATTTTCAATGAGCACCATAAATACATAAATGACAAAAGAATGAAAGGTTTTTGCAGCATGTACAGAATTTTAGTTAGTAGATGGAATAAATATTAAATGAGTTGGACTCCAACAGATACAATTACTCCAGCCCAGTCTCCAGAAGACAATATTGGTATTTGCAAACCATTCAACCAACAAACAACAGAACTGGCTGTTTTTTAGAGACCTGTCGCTGTTTTTCCAGCTCAGTTTGTACCAAGAAAAAAGCGGTTGTTTTTTTACTGAGACATCACCAAGTTTCCGGGTATTTTATGCCAAAACACAATGTTTTCCCAACCATAATCAAGTGTTTTTTATGCCTAAACCTAACCACATAACCACACATTAACCACAGCATTGTTGAAATGTAAAGTTTCAAGATATCGCTGTCTCTCTTATTGTTACATGATTAAAGTGGAACATTATCCTTAAGACAAGAGAAGACTTCAATTCTAACAACAGTTGACCCTCATGACACAGGCTGAATCCACCTTTCAAAACACTAATAAAATATTTATATCATTGGTTTGCATTAATGTCCCTAATTAGTGTAGTGAAATGCACAGATTGCTTCCCTTAAATGAGGTGGTTGAACATTTTGGGAACTGCTCTAATGCAAGTTAGATGAGAGGATTAATACCCATCTCACAGCGGTCCAATAAATATAAGGCTACAGCTATTAACTGATTAGCTTAGCTTAGCATACTGGGAGGACTTGGCGCAGGGAAAACAAACTCAGTAACTCCCAGCACCTTTAAAACTCACTTCTCAATTAACAAATTATATTACAGGTTAGTCTGCGCAAAAACAGAAGTTTCAAAATGGCAAGTTGTGGTTTTCACGAGGTGTTCTGGCCAGACTACATTTTAGTCAGGGGCGGGGACTTCTTGGAGCCATGTCGTCACATGTAGAAAAGACACCCGCACACTGTCTAACTTGCAAAATAATGACTTTAATGCTGCAATGTTTCGGTGACTGGACCTTCATCAGGCAGACAGTTTTGTAACAATAGCCCTTTTTAGATAGGAATTGTGCAATTTGCAGGAAAGCCCAATCAGTCTTCTTTCAGCATTGGCAGTATAAAAACAAAATCGGGGTGTGCAGCAAAATGCCGCCTACCTACTTTTGTTTATACAGAATGCGCCTTTTTTGGTGCAATGGGGGGCGTGAGCAAGTAACAAAACTTGTAGCTCAGCGTTTGATGTAAACAGTGATGTGGGAGGGAAGCTGTGGCTGGTCAGTCCTTCTGCTATTCTCTCTTAAGTTGGCCCATTCTTTACCGTTCCCTTCATTTGACAGTTAATGGCCTCTTCGTTTGCGAGGACAAGGAGGGCGCGTAATTCCTTGTCTCCCCAGTTGCTCATCTTTACAGTGTCTGTCAGGTTTGCGTTTCCCTCTTGCTACTAGCTGCTCGCTAATTCCTGCTATCAGCTGTTTCCTGTTTATCCACCGCCAGTGGGGCGCACGTGCAGCGTCATCAACAGCCCCTCCTGTGGCGGCAGACCGCCTTGGCCTTTTTAAACCAAAAAGGTTCCGCCAATATGACTACCCTACGAGGCACCTCAGATCAACTTGCCAATCCGGCTCTGTGTGTCTAAACACTTGCTGCTTGCTGGCAAAATGGCCCAACATTCGTGGAAAATCTGGCAGTGTAAAAGGGGCTATAGAGAAACCATCTAAAATAGGAGTAGGTTACATTATCCATGTGCAATGGAAAGGCTAAATACCAAACATCAATTAGTGAAAGAATCAACATCATACATAAAATTAAGAACGTCCTTATTGTTAACTTGCATTCTCTAAGCATCAACACACACATAGGAAACTTGGTAATAAGTGCAACAAGGCCTCCACAGTGTCACACAGTAAAAACTGTCATCACGACAGGGTCTAATAATGCTGGATTTTTGAGAGTTAAAAAAGTTAGATAATAAATTGGCCACCATACATTCTTTAAGATAACTATGAGCAACATGTTCTCATCCTTACTCAGGATATTTTGCTGCTTAGAAAGAAGCCCTGGCATGACTAAACTGATACCAGGGGCCAGGACTGACAGATGGGTTTAGGCAACAAAACTAATTGCTTATGGTTAGGAAAATGTTGTGGCTCCCATTGGAAAGGCAGCAGTGTGTCGCTATTCAAAACACTTGGCACTGATTGGCACACATGTGGCAGTAAGACAGGGTCAGCGGTGACGTTCAGGTAACAAAGCTACTTCATTATGGTTAGGAAAATTATCAGATGTTGCTAAACAACACTCAGACCTGAGTGGCACAAACGTGGCTGGAAATGTGCAGCGGCATGTCGCTACCAAACATTCAGCTTTAAGTGGCACAAACATGGTGGAAAGACTGAGTTGGCTGTAACAAAACCACTTTGTTACGGCATCACTATCATGGAAGTCACAAAAAACAGCTTGGCTTTGAGTGGCACAAATGCATGAGCTGCTGCTGTTGTTTGTTGGACACAAACACCAGTATCCTGGGTCAAAGTTCGGTGTTTGTTGCTTTTCTTGTTGTTTGTCAGTATAATAATGACAGGGACACTGCCCAAGCCAATTCTGACACCTTGGAAGTGAGACCAGGCTGCCTATGACTTAAGCATCCCTCAAGTTTATTAAATAAAGAATTGTAATGAGCTGGACATTTTGCGGCCGAAAAATGAAACATCTGTGCCGTCTGCTTTACAAACTGTAATATTGACTCTTATTTCTCGAGCATATCTTTTATCACAGTCTCATGCTGACATGAATAAATTTGTAATATGATATAATCAGCTCTAATGCTCATCAATCTTCATCATCACTATTATTAACACTCTCACTGCATCCTGCCTATCATTACATAAGTGCCTCTCAAAAACCACACTCATAATGTGCGCAAAACTATTGCTGCAGGGTGCTGCAGAAAGCAGAAAGCAAAGTCCCTCCCCTCGATTTTATGACCTGTTTCTCCAGAGTCGTGAGAGAGTGACCGAGAGGGAGAGCAAGTAAGGATGTAGAGTGGTGATGCTCTGGTATCCAGTTCTGTGCAAAGCTTGAACAACATGCTGAGGATGAATCGTTCAGCATCCCTTCAGGAGCACAAGGGCTACTCGTTGTGTGAATGTAGCAAAGAGAAAAAGTAGACTTCTTTCAGCTTGAGATTAAACATAATGGGAGAAGCAGCACTCAAAGTGGAGGCAAGAAGTTTCAACATCCAATAGTGATTTTTTTTTTAACTGAATAACAGTAGGCGTAAGTAGTAAAAATGTCTTCCTCTCCTGGGATCAAGCGTCGGGAACATGTGGACATGATGTACATCTCCATTGAGACAGCCATAGCCCTGGCTTCTGTAGTGGGGAATGTGCTAGTGGTGCTGGCTGTGTGTGTGAACCGGGCTCTCCGCAACACCACCTTCTGCTTCATCGTATCTCTGGCCGTGGCTGATATCGCTGTGGGGGTTTTGGTCATCCCCCTGGCTATTGTCATCAGTCTGGAGTTTAACACTCAGTTCTACACCTGCCTCTTCCTCTCCTGCCTGCTGCTGATCATCACCCAGAGCTCCATCCTCTCCCTGCTGGCCATCGCCATCGACCGATATCTGCGGGTCAAGATTCCCACCAGGTGAGGAACTGTTTTAAAACCAACTGGTTTTACTCTTGTTTGAAAGGTGTAGTTAGGTTGTCCCTGACAGATTAAAAGACATCAGGGATTGGTGTGGTTAAGATAGTGTTGGATGAAAAATATTACAGTATCAATCAAAATAGTTCTCGACAGCCTGTTTACGGTCAGACCGATAAAATATTCATAACTGAGAGCAATAGGAAGTTGATGTCAGCATAATCCCTGACTGGTTGTAATTGCCTGTTCCAGTCTGTTGCAGCTTTACTGATAAAAATAGGCTCTGAAATATGATGACATAAGTGCTGTTCATTCACAAGAATGATATCATCAGAACTAAATTCATACACGACATGTATTCCTTCCCATACAAGTCAAATCCAGCCATGTAAGTTTATTTATATTACCCAAAATTACAAATACGCCTTAGATCGCTTTAAAAAATATAGATTTTCTGATAATCTTACTTTCTAAAGCCGCCCCAAGAATATTTGAGAACAATCCATTGTAGTGATTGTAGTCTCCTTGTTATTGCTTTTAGCATCAGAGAGCTAAATATGGGACTCAATTACGAGGAGGCAGTCTCAGTGTTGATGTCTGACATGGTGCTATATTGTTGTCTGGTTTAATGTAAATCAATGGGCTGGACATCAGAAGCTTTTAAGCAAATGAAAATGTCCCTGCCTGCCTAAATAACTGACATAAGCACAGTTTGTTATGGGATTCTGGCAGTTGCCCATACTACTTTTTCTTTATCAGCTGGATCCTGATGTCAAAAGCTGTCAGTTAAGATCTATGGATCTATGGATATCAATCTATGGACTGGCATTTGTTGAAAGAAATCCAATGTGCAGTACGTATGTGGGCATTTGGGTGATTTAAAGACCTTGCTTGTTTTCTAATTACTCAGGTACAGCACCATAGTGACCCAGAGGAGGGCATATGTGGTCGTCTGTCTGTGTTGGATCCTCTCCTTCCTCACTGGGCTGGTTCCGATGATCGGATGGAATAACCTTGATGTTCAAGGAAACCTCAGCAGCTCCAGCAACATTGTGTGTGAATTCACCACGGTCATGAGGATGGACTACATGGTGTACTTCAATTTCTTCGGCTGGGTGGTGGTACCACTGTCCATAATGATCGCCCTCTACGGGGAGATCTTTAGGGTGATCCGGCGACAGCTTAACCGGCGCGCTGAAGCCACATGTGACGGAGACAGATACTATCGGAAGGAGCTGAAGCTGGCCAAATCACTGGCGTTGGTGGTCTTCCTCTTTGCTGTGTGTTGGCTGCCGATACACATCATGAACTGCATCACCTTCTTCTGCCCCAAGTGTACCATACCCAAGTTTGCCCTGTACGTAGGCATTTTCATGTCGCATGTGAACTCAGCGCTCAACCCAATGGTTTATGCATTCAGGATAAAGCGGTTCCGCATGACAGTCATCCAGATCACTCGTCGCTGCGTGTTATGTAAACCCACAGAGCCAACTCCATGCCCCACTAGCACACCAGCCCTGACTGAGAAAGTGGATGTAAACTTGTAACAAAGAACTGCAGCACTCCTGCGGACATGGCTTAAAATGAAACGGTGCAACAGTGACACTCACGGGATGAGGTCATGTTTGGAATATCACTCCATTAACCAACGAAAGCAATGCACTCTACTGAGTCACGGGACAAGTTCATATCTGACTCTTTCACGTTTCTTCAACACTACATTTTAAGAAAACGAGCCTGCAATCAAGAGAAAAATAATGTCCCCATTACCCTGCATTATTTCGTCTTCACTTAATGCTTCCTTGATTCATATTGAATTATACATCAACATAATGAGTGATGCAACAAATATTTCATGTTCAGAAAGCTTGTTGGTAAATTCACGAGAAATAAAAACATATCGCTTCTTCATTCCATTACTAATGTTACAGTTTTTATTTCACATTTACATAAAGTTAAAGCTGCAGTTAGTAACTCTGTGGGCAAAAAATCATTTTCCTCTGCCCACTCTATTGCCTTGTAGTGCTTCTAATGGCCTCACCACCTGCCCGCTCTCACCAAAAAACGACAGCATAGGTCAATTGTGCAAGCAGTTATTATGACCTATATTTATGTTTACTGCAAGGTGGCGCCCCTTAGTAGCTGTAGTAATATTACAGGAGAATAGGATAAGTGTTGCAGCATAAAAAGTGACAGTCCGTGTAAAAATGTACAAATATTAAAGAAGTCCCTCTAGGATGGGTGGCAGGGGTGGTGCATGGGTCTAAGGTAAAAATAGATCTTGATAATATAAGCAAAGACAAAATCTATGACAAAAACGTTAGTGGTGGGCTGTTGGACGCTGAATACAGAGAACGGCTGTGCTTGCAATTATCTTCAAATGCCACATGAGTGACAGGCTGGCAAACTCCAGTAAATAGTTTATGCCAGGATGTTTCGCTTGCCAGCAAAAACATTCACACTGGAGCAGCGTCAACCGTTGGTGCGAGTTGCGAGCTGTAATTCAGCAGTAAATAAGCAGCCGTGTGTGTCTGACTGTGGATGGTGGAAGTGTTAAATGGATTTGTGGAGTTTAAGTTGCAGTGGTGGCTGTTAGCAGCTCCACTTATAAGCTGCTGAATGGTAGTGGAGCAACATCTGATCCCTTCAGCACTCCACTCAGTCCAGACTGTCTCAGGAAGGTTTATGGGTTGATGCTGTTTGACAGGCAGAAGGCTCAGTTATCTGTGAGTGTAGCTGAGTTTTCTCTGACAGAGATGAAAGTTTAGTTTTTAATCACCAACTCTGAGAGGACATGAGTTTAAAACTCCAGACTGACATATTGCAGATTAATAAAAAAATTCTGGCTTTAAATAAGTTATCTAACTACTTGTATATCTACTTCTTAACAGTGAGATTGATAGGTTGGAGTTTTCAATGAACCTGGGTACAAATCCTAGTTGTCTTAGACTAGTTCCTTGTGGTGTCAAAGTTTTTGAGAGCATAAATTGAGAGACATTGAGCTTTTCAAATGATGAGTGTGTGCTTGAATATCACCCCATTAACCTATCAAAAACTGCTGCAGAAATGACAGTTTGTAAGTGTGTAGAAATCATTTTTAGTTGTAGAAAAAAACTGTCTACATGAAATTTCTATACAAACTGTCACCTTGATTTAATTTCTGATACATGAATAAGCCTAACTGTATTAGTTTAAAGATAAAGAAAACATATTGACTAAAATGTCATTAATTTTCAACGACTAGAAAGTTTCGAGTTTTCATTACTAAAACTATTAAGGCTAAAACTGAAATGTGACTAAAACTAATAAGAACTTTTGTCTCAGGACTAAGACTAAGTCTAAAACATCTGCCAAAATGAACACTGCTAGGTTTTTTTAGCATGCTACGCTAGTGACGTATGTGACCTGTTGTATGTGAGGTATGTCACGTGAAATACAGCATGTTCCATTAGTCACAAAAGTACTTTTTTAATGCCAAACCATGATGTATTTCCTAAATCTAACCACACAGTTTTGTTATGGAGCAGAGCTGCGACCATTTCATGACATTAAGGACGTGTCTAAAACTGCCACCATCAGAACCGTAATATGCCTTTTTGGGGCCGGTCTTATAGGTCGTTTTGGAAGTCAGTGGAAATCAACCTACTCTGTGGTTATGGTATGTGAGCGTGTTGCATACCATATGTGAACAAATACAACCAATCAGAACCGAGGAGTCTCTAATGCAGCCGTCAATAATCTCAATCAGTGCTTGTGAACTGTGGTCAACACTGCCAAACTAGGCAGCGGTGATCAAATATGAATCAAGATTCTGTTACTGCATTGCCTATTTCAGTAAGTAAGTAGCAATAAACAAAAGTTTTGTAGTGTTTGACAAATGTTGACTTCATGATGGTGACGGATGAAATCTCAAAGGATCAGCAAAGTTACCACATTTCATCGGAAGGGGAACATGATGGTCTGTATCAAATATCGTGACAAGTGATCCTGGAGACGCTGAGTTATCTTACTAGTTAAGTGAAAACTTGCTGGTGGTGCAAGAAGAAAAGTCCAACACATTCTCACTCTGACCTCATCACATATCGTTGCTGGGTCATGGACGTCCAGATAATAACATGAAAAGTACCCTGGGTAGGTTGGTTGTTGACGTTCTGGAGCACCATGTCAAGTTCTGCCTGATACATGCATCATCCTCTTTCAAAATACACTTCCATTTTCACAGGAAATTTACTGTTTACCGTTTTTAATCTCTTTCAAAATAAACGCACCATGTCAGTACAACAACGCGAATTGATGTTTTTTTTTCATGGTTGGGTTTAGGCAACAAAAACATGTGTTAAGGATTGAGCAACCACCCATCCTACTTTGACTTTCGCCACCTTAACTTTCGTTCTTGTCCCACCGTGTCTCCCCATTGCCACCAAGCATCATTAAACTAGAACAGCGACCAGCCGCAAATCATGCCTATACTAAAGAACTGCTTTTTCGTCAGTGTCTGACACTGCAAGTCATTGCCCAAGCACTGGATTTCGAGGACTTCAGAGTGAGACCAGGTTGAAAAATCAGTAGATCACTGATCTATTAGGATTCATTCTCTGGGCACCATACATGTCTGTACTAAACTTTATGCCAACCTTTAACAAAGTTGTTGAGTATGCTAAATGAAGATTTGATCGCCGATGACACCAAGATACCACGTGATACCAATTGTTACCAGCTCAACCTTCTTCCCCTCTAAGGGTGGTGACGTTGTGGGTAACCTGTTAGTGTGTGACATGTACTTCATGGTGTATATGGAGGGAAGCAGCTCTTTTGGGGTGTCATGGTGAAGACGGTAGAGACGGTAAAGAATGATGATAGTCGGCAGAAGGAATTGTCTAGATAAGCAGTGAAGACTGCAATAAAGCCATTGTTAGTGAACAGCACCCGAACACCTGACCATCCTTCCCTCTGCCTCTGCTAGAAGTTAGTTACCAGCATGAGCCAAGCTAATTCAATGTTAGTAAGCCAACATGTTCCCAACTACTGTTACACAGAGGTAAACAAAACATTAATTTTGACCCCTCAAAAAAATTTTAATGATTAATTCACAGTATGTTTTTTGGAAAAGCAATAATCCTAAAAGCTAAACATTGTTCATCTACATAAAAATGTTATAAATATAACCTTTAAACTGGACCACAGTGGTGGACCGACTGACCAAGAGACCAATATTGCCGCACAGAGCCACGCAGCACGGCTAAAAATTAAATTCGATTAATTTGCACACGTCTACATCGGACTCTTGGGTAGTCACGTAAACCAAAGCAGAAGAGTCAGAATGGGAGGGGAGGGAGTACAGTGTGTTCTGAAATTTTATGATTGACGGAAAAACCATTCAGTACAAAGAGCAGACACGAGGCCCTGCCTGGAATGCAAATGACCAATAAAGCCACTAAAGCAAATGAACAAAACTCTGGCAACATCAAAGCAGTCCAGTCATTAGTCTTTATCACAGGATGCAGGCATTTTTTCAGCTAATTCAGCTGGTTTCAGTCATATTTCACTGGCTGTGGCAGGGTGTTGAAAAGCCTCTGAAGCATTTGAGCAAATTACCCAAAGATCATTATGGTGAAGTGATTTATTCCAACTCTAAAGCTAAAGCTTCTGCTAAAGCTGAGCCACTTCTGCTTGGTCATCAGTTTGACTTCTGCCTGGTTTCAGGCCATGTCACAATTCTGTTCCTCCACCAGCAGAACTTAATACTTAAGGAAAAGAGGTCTAATCTGGTTTAGAATACATGTTTAAATTTTTTGTCATTTGATATGTATATTTGATGTGACAAGGCCCACAGATACATTTATCCTTCTTATATTTATGTACATTCACCTGGCAGGAGTGATGTACCCACCTGAGACTTGTAGGGTTGAACAGTTTCACATGAACATGACATTTGAAGCCTTTACTCTCTATCTATCTATCTATCTATCTCTGTCTGTCCCTCCCTCACCATACGTATTTTACCATCTGTCACCTTCATCCTTGATGAGGGATTTGAAACTGCTGAGTGTGGCCTAATCCCCAGCCTTCGTCTTAGTGAGGGACACGCTGCGTAACCATCCCGGCATTTACCGTCTTCACAGTGCACACTTCTGTGGCTGGTGGCCTACCAAACGCTGAGGGGCACAAGCATGGTGTAGCAGACTCTCTATTTGGTGTGTTCATCTTATCTTCATCTTAAACTAATCTTCTCTGAGGTAAGACTGTTCACATTTATCCTAAAACAGCTGCAAAACAAAGATTGTGAAACTTTAAGATCTTAACCTCCTGAGACCCAAGCTTTTGTTTCAATGTCTCCTAGCTATTTAGGATAACTAGGACCTGGAAAGTATAATAAAAACTAAGCAGTAGGTAGTATTTGAAAACAAGAGGTGCTCATATGGGGACATTGGGTTTGTTTTTTTGTTTGTCACAAGTGTGCAACAAAATATAAAACTGTTAATTTCAGTGCCTGAAAATTGTTGTGCAAAAACAAAATTGCAAGTAATGCAACATACGTTCAATGCTCTGTAACTCTATAGCTTAGGGGTCACTGTTCAAGTCCAAAACTGATATCTTAAGCGCTATATTGTAGGCAACTGGACTTGCTTGAGTTTCTTGAAGACGTTTCATCCAAAAAGCTTGGAAAGTTCTAACGGACTGGTGCAGAGTCGCAGACTTTAAACTCTATGTGGGTGTGAACCCTTAAAGAGTCGCTGAGGTCACATGAGTTGTTGACCCATCTGGCCATCGTGTGTTGTTCGGGTCAGATTTGTCGAGGTGTGGATAGGTATTAAGTCGTCTGGGGAAGGATCCCAAGACTGCATTGTAGGTGGGTGATAAGTGGTGTCATAGGCCACCTCCTCTGCTCAAGAAACTCAAGAAAGTCTAGTTGCCTAGGATATGGCCCTTAAGATTGCCTTGACCTGGATGTCTGAGAATCTTCACTGACACGTCTAAAGCTGTTAATTTCAATGCCTGAACATGGCTTTACAAAAACAAAATTAAACAAAATTTTCCCTGGTACATTTCCAAGCTAGAAATGTCCTTTTTTGTCTGTAAGAACAGTCTGTCGCACCTAATGCTGTGATAATACAAAGGTCCCAGTGTCCTCAAATGAGTACTTTCTAATAAGCAGGGTTTTAGCTTGTTCCTAAAATTGGTCAAATTTGTATTCTATATCAAATATCAAGCTATATCAAGCATAAATAAACAAGTTTCAACCATATAATTCGATCAGATTTTGAACATTGTACACTTTTTGTGTCGGGATTGACTGCAGACTGATTTGGCAGAAAAAGCCACCATCTTGTTTTTAGTGTCTTGTGCTCTTGCTACCACTAGATGACACATAAAAGTGTGCACAAACAAGGACAACAGGTCCAAGTTAAGCAGAATGAAGAATAAGGTGCAGCCATCCAAAAAATTTGATGTTCTCATATGAGGACGCAGGGTCGCAGGAGGTTAAGTTTCCAAAATCAATACTTTTATCCAATCCCTTTTTTATCAACTAAAAAACTTATTTTGCAGGATCAAACCAAACTAAGATGGCTGACACGGACACACCGGAGGGTGTCCAGGACCTGGAATCTCCGGAGGAGGAGCTGGATGACGAGCAGACAGCCTTGCTACACTTTGGAAAATACTGTGAAGCCCGGCGTGCGCTTCCTTGGGACCAGTGGACCTTCAGAGAAAAGGCAAACTATTATATGGACCGCATCTTCCTTGGGGTCTTGATCATTTTTTTGCTCATGTTAGTGGGAGAATGTGCCTATAAAGTGTGGTACGTCACAAACGTGAATAAGATTGCACAGTTGGTGTCAGACTCGGTGGTCTCTCTGTACGACTGGCTCTTCACCCAGCAGAAACAGGAGGAGCTGTTGGAATTGTAGGTTGTTAATAGAGCTTTTTTTTTTTTAGTGTTTTCTACAATGTTTTAGGCACATGTGGTGTTACAAATGCTCAGTAAGGATTTAAGTCATAGCTCTTCTATTGTAACTACAAAAACAGCAATTTATTACTGATTTCTGAACGACATTTTTTGTGGTGAATTAATGGAAATAAATAATGTATGCAATTAACCGAATTATTGTTCTGTCATACAGTGTACTGCACACAAGCTTTATAGCATCCCCAACGTCTGATGATTGTCCTGTGGTCCTGTGGTTTTATTCTTTTATTAAAAGTTGCTGTTATATAGTATAGTTTATAGTATTTTAGAATTTAAGGTCCAGTGAGTAAGATTTCGGTGGATCTAGTAGAATCTTGCAGTGAGGATTGCAGATTGCAACCAGCTGAAACTTCTCCCAGTTCAAATTCCTTCAATATTCATTGTTCAGGAGGTTTTTACCAGGAGCTGAATTATCCACAGAGGTCTCTTCCTCTCCAAAACAAACAGACCAGTTGATTTAAACCAGTAAAAACACTGAATAAAGCAGTTTCACATAAAAACAAAATCTGTTTTTTTCCTACACTGCCCATCACAGAGAGGCTGCTGTGAAGTGTGAATGGCCCTATCTAGAGCCTGTGTTAGGTTTCTCCATCTGGGCTACTGTAGAAAAAGGGCGGTGCAACATGGCAATCTCCGTGGACGAGGACCAGCTCCCTAGGTAGATGTAAACAGCTCATAAGGTCACAAACCACAACGATTCTTATTTCCAGGTGATCATACATAAAAGAAAATATATTTATGATATTATGTTCCATTTCTTCTCATATACCCCCCTTAAATCCGACACACTGGACCTTTAAATGAATTCAAGAAATAATCGTGAGGGAGTTTAACTGAGCTCTGACATGATCAGTCTCCTCTACTCATTTACTCAAATACTATACAGTTGTGAGCTATTTGTACTTTACTTTAGTATTTCCATGTTACTCTAAATTCTACTTCAGAGGAACATATTGTAGTTTTGCTCCATTATATTTTATGTTACATCTGTAGTTACCAGTTACTTTGAAGGTTATTAAAATGCAATATAAGATCCATTCTGGCCAGTTCCAATGTTACAATGCTGGAGAAGTGCATCAGTCATAATAATCCAAAAATATAATATTATATTCTAAAAGGGACCATTCTGCTGCCTAATGTGTTACTTTGCTATTTTGGTACATCTTGCTGTCAAAACCTCTACATTTTAATCAAAATGATGGATGTAGGAATTTTAGAGAGGAGCTTTTTCTTAATTTACAAGCTGCCAGGTTGCCTTATATCAATAACAAATAGAGTGCTGATCAAATGAAAATGTTCAATCAAGAAGGCTGAAGGTAAGGGGAGGAGAAAAGGTAAGGAATAAAAAAAAGAAAAAACAAATTACAAATACTCTTGCTTACTTACAGAGGTGGAACGTAACTAAGTACAAGTACTCAAATACAGATTTTAGGTATTTGTACTTTATCTTCCTTTCATGGCACTCTATTCACTACACTACATCTCAGAGGGAAATGCCATACATTCTGCTCCTCTACAAGTATCTAACTTAAGAAATTTGCATATAAAACATATGAAGACATAATAAAATATAATGCTTTATTATAAATTAAACTACTCAACAGTATAGAATTTCTGCAGCAGAAATAATTACTTCATTGATCATTTAGTCAACTGACAGAAAATAGTTTGGCAACAATTTTGATATTTGTTCAGTCATTTGTAAATGCAGAAAAAAAAAGACAATTTATTATTGTAGCTTCTCAGATTTGAGATTTTTGCTGATTTACCTTTTATCTTTGATGTATAATAATCAAGTTTTGTTTTTTTCTGCATTGAGTACTTTTACTTTCAATACTTAAAGTACATTTTCCCTATTATACTTGCATATTTTTACTTAAGTAACATTTTCAGCGCAGGCCATTTACTTGTAACTAGGGTTGCAACAGTATGAGGTTTTCACGGTACAGTAACCATCTCAGAAAATATTGCGGTATCATGGTCTTACAGAGTTAATATTATGATCAGTCAGAGTGAAAATAAAAGTGTGATTTTTTTTTGAACAAACATTTTATTGGCATAACTGAAACTCGAAACCATTTTGTTTATGGAAGTACGTGTAAAAATTCAAGAAAATGTACACTGTATGAAAACAGTCAACTTTTATACCATAACATACCTTGAAACCTGTATATCACAGCAAGTCTACTTGTAACAGAGTATCTTTACAGTGTGGTATTTGTACTTTTACTCAGCTACAGGATGTGAATAGATCCTCCTCTACAGTTTTTATTGCCAGTGTCAGCGGAGATCATCTTATTGCACCACATTACAATAATAAAAACACACAATACTAAAAATAATAATAAAATAAAACAATGAATTTAATTATACTCTATTCTATATTGTATTTGCAGGTTAATATTAAATACAGTTGCAGTAAATAATGGGATAAATGTGACAGATTTCTCCCATTGATGTTAATCGGTATGTCTGTCATCCAAATGGACCAATGAAATCCACGCATTCCACTGCTCTATAACTTCCGGTACCTCCCTCTTCCTCTTCCGGATTTCCTAGCGTGACCGACGTTTCGTGTCTGTTTAGACTTAAGTAAGTCAATATTCAATCAATTTAAACTGTGTATGTAGATATCATGTTGTTTTGCTGTGCGTTTAATGCGACATGTTCGTAACTGCTGGTTTTAATCCCTGAAATATGACGCGTTGCCGGAGCAGCAGCCGCTGTCAGAAATGGAGGGCTGTTGGCGTTGTAGGAAAAACACTGTCCGCCATGCTGTCTGTGTTCGCGCTAAATCATATGTATCACAGTTGTTAGATGCCAAATTGCTGGAGGACTAGAAAGCACCGCTGAAAACGATACAATACCAACTCTTAACACTGACCTTTGATTCTTCACGTAGTTGGGGTGTTAGCGTCGTCTCAACACATGCTAACAGCTAACGGAAGCTAAGCTAACGTCTGACTGGGCTCCTCCCTTATCATGTTCACTCGTTCATTAGAGAGAGAAATACAGTATTCTGACTAAACATGGGGTTCTGGTGTAACTGCATTGTTATGTCTAACAGTGTTTACTTGATATACGTAAACCAGGATGTCCTTACATGACTGTTGTAGTTATAAATAAACCTGCTGAATGTGGAAAGCAAAGCAAAGACTTTGAGCCTCCCAGTGGTGATTGTGAGCAATGACGTGAGATACAGGCACAATACTACATTTAGATCCTTTTTAGGAAAGATCTTTGTACTAGTCTAAGAATTATCGTACACAGTTACAGCCAACTTTGTACATTTTACCACATGAGAGCGAATGTAATTTGTTAGTTAACAGTTAATTGTCAAGAAATACTAAGAAATCTGAATATTCCTGGTTTTCTGTGTGTCAAAAAAACAACATCTTTGGGTCTGTACTGTCGCTCAAACAAAATAAGCAATCTGAATGTCAGCTTCGGTTTTAGGTGATTGTGATGAGAGGCTTTCTTGCCATTATTGTGCATTTTATATTCCCAAACCAGACATTCATATAATAATCATCAGATTAATTGATGATGAAAATAGTCCCTATTTGAAAAAAGAATCCATTATTGATTAACAGTTATATTAGTAGTAATAGCCGTAGTTTATTTTGGTCAATATCTAACTTATATAAAATATACACAAGGAAAAAAGAAATAGTAAAAATACTGATAACAGTAATAAGTCGGGACTTTTTTTAAGCAGTGACAAACCAAAGCAAGTGAAGCTGACCGAAAAGGTGTGGGCTGAAGCTTTAGCTTATTTCAGATACCCCTTTTACAGTAAGAGTTTTGTACATCTTTTTAGATCTATACAATGCAGATGAAAGAAACAAGCAAGAATATATACTGTTTCATAAAGTCCCAAACAAACATTCATATACACACTATTGTTTTATATTTGTTACTCATCTTATTTAAAACATTTCTAAGTCTATTAAGTGTTTTATATTTCACAGTTAATCGTTTGAAAATGTCACAAAATCTGGGACAGTTGCCCATCACACTTGACAAGAGTTCATGTTGACATATTCACACTGCTTGTTGTGTCCATCCAATAGTCCATAACCCAAACATACTGACAATGGTATAAAACAGGAAAAAGCAGCTCATGATTTTAAAACAGGAACTATTTTGTCAATTTATCTTGAAAGTTTTTGGTGTATTTAACGCAATTTAAAAAAAAAAAAAAAAAAAGGATGGAAGGCAACGTTCCAGCAGGTTTTGGAAAGCCTCTGTAGTTGGAGTCTTTCCATTATTTTACCCTCCCAGACTTGGCGTCAGAGTTGTGTAACTGGCAGAGTTGCACTCAAATTGTTCACCTGTCATTTTGTTCTCTCTCTTGTTATTACAGAATGCGTTACGTGGCCGCTTACCTCCTTGCTGTGCTCGGTGGAAACACCAGCCCCATTGCAAAGGACATCAAGGCCATCTTGGGCAGCGTGGGAATTGAGGCCGATGACGAACGCTTAAACAAGGTATGCCATTTAACGGTGTATGTAATGCAGTTAGAAAAACTGAAAATGTTGTGTGGCTTAAAATAATCTCATATTTCTCTGCAGGTCATCAGTGAGCTGAATGGGAAAGACATCAATGAAGTAGTGAACTCAGGTAAGGGTCTCTCAGTGAACATACAACAAAGATTTCAAGATGTCAAAATGAAAGATAGCTAAAAATTGCATTTCTTTCTTTTGTCCACAGGCCTCTCTAAGTTAGCCTCCGTACCAGCAGGTGGTGCTGTGGCGGCTCCTGCCGCTGCAGGTGGGGCCGCTGGGGCCGGGGCTGCGCCTGCTGCTGGTATGTGTCATTCTTACCTTCAATTAATAAATGAATGTTTTCTGTATGTGTAGGATTGCTTTAAGTTCTACATGGCATTATCAAATATTGTATTTCAATAGCACTGCAAATACTGTGATGCCCTCACAAATGAATCTGTGGTTGCATTTAGCAGCTCTAAAATAAAGATGACTATATTGGGTGTCAGTGCTGCTAAAAATTCTTGCAGACATCTGTCTGTAGTGTTGACTGTTGTCTGTCTTGTCTTTCCAGCGGAAGAGAAAAAGGAAGAGAAGAAAGAGGAATCTGAAGAGTCAGACGAAGACATGGGCTTTGGACTCTTTGAC